CATGCACGCCCGGGCTCTGAGTGTGGCGGGGGACGATTCGGAACTTTTGCAGTATTTGTTGCGCTCCCCACAATGGGAAGCTGCCGTCGATCAGTACACGCAGACATTGTAGCTTGTAGCAGCAGCGTTCGCCTTCTGTGCCTCCTGTTGGTCATTTGAGCCGGCTTCGATGATACCGTTTCCCCCCTAATTTGTATCATTCCCAGGGCCCTCCCCTCCCACCCCCCCTCCCCCCCTTCCGCCTCCTCCGGATAGCCGCGCAGGTTTTCCTAATCATTTCGACCTCTCCGAGGCACCGCGCAGCTGTTAATGTGCATATTCTTGCACGCCACCGCAAATGTACACTACGAGCTGCCGAATCATTTGCCGTTTAGGCGCGGCCGTTTATTGTCCTGTCCTGCATGCGCGAGGGCGCGATTGCTGAGCGTCGCGGGCCCAGCGCCTGAGTACATTGAGAAGGTACACCAGGCGAGAGCTCGATTCTTACGTACATCGGAAGGAAGTGTCCAGCGATAGCGCGATTCCGATTAACCAAGTGCGGCGAGCTTGGAGGCGGGAGCCGTTGTTGTAGCCGAGGGCCCAACTACACAGTTTGAGCAAGAAGCTTTTCCCTGAACTCAAACAATCAAAAGAGGCGCGCGGGCCCTTGGAGGGACTTCGATCGAAAAATCACAGTCCGTGCCGAACGGGAAGGATCAACAATAGAATTTTTTCAGAAGTGGCAGGACACCAACAACATGCAAAGTCGAGCCGTGGCATGGCCAGCGGGGGGCCCAGCAAGGCCCCCAGACATCCGAATCTATATCCGTAAGGGCTTCGCCCCCTGCCGCCGGCCCCCTATCTCGGAGAATGCGCTATGCGAGAGTGATGTCATGAGGCCTGGGCGCCATCGTGAAGCAGTATCGGAACTTCATGCGAGGCCGATTCGTAATCGGCAAAACCAATTGACTTGTCTTGTGAGCCTGACCCCGCCGATCTGCGTGAGGGGTGCCACAGGATTTCAGAAATGTGGCAAATCCCTTATGTTTTTGGACCCTGACCCCGCCGATCTGTGTGAGGGGTGCCACCGAATTTTAAACATGTGGCAAATCCTTTGTGTTTTTGGACCCTGACCCTGTCGATCCGCGTGAGGGGTGCCAACGAATGTCAGAAAAGTGGCAAGTCCCTTGGTTCTCGGACCCTGACCCCGCCGATCTGCGTGAGAGGTGCCAGCGAATTTCAAACATGTGGCAAATCCCACGTGTTTTTGTTGACCCTGACCCTGTCGATCCGCGTGAGGGGCGCCAGCGAATGTCAGAAATGTTGCAAATCCCTTGGTTTTCGGACCCTGACCCCGCCGATCTGCGTGAGGGGTGCCAGCGAATTTCAAAAATGCGGCAAATCCTTTTCGTATTTTTTGCACCCTGACCCCGCCGATCTGCGTGCGGGGTGCCACAGAATGTTAGGCATGTGGCAAATCCCCTTTGTTTTTGGACCCTCACCCCGCCGATCTGCGTGAGGGGTGCCACCGAATTTCAGAAATGTTGCACATTACATTTATTTTTGGACCCTGACCCCTCCTATCTGCGTTACCGCTGTTAATTTTTACCCACCCCAGCAATTCAGACAACACGCTCAGGGCGTGCTAAACCTGCCCGTTTTGGGCCTCCCCCCCTCGCGCGGTCCATCAACAAGGAACAGTAAGCAGCAAGAAGCAGAATTGCCATAGTGGAAACTGGAAGCTGCAACTGGTACAGGAAGCTGCGAACCTTCGGCCTACAGCCTTGTGGCCCCACAAGGGGACCTGCGGATTTTTTTATTGCGCGGCACGAGATGTCCCGACGCCTTCCCGAAAATTACGCTGCCGAGGAACCCCACATACTTAACTTAAATATTGTGTGTTTGTGTAAGTTTATAATATATGCGCAATTCTGCGTTCTCAGCCCTCGTCGCGAATATTCCCTTATGTGTCATCCAACGCCATATTGCTTGAACCTCCTCCCTCTTCCTAGTCTTCCATCCTCCGTCGAGGACAGATTCGAGCCAGCCAGCGGCCGCGGTGAGGGACCACCCCCTGCGCACCCTCTATGGTGTCGAGAAAGTGCCACGCCTGCTATGCCCTGGACGACCGTCGTGCATAGCGGCCGCGGTGAGGGACCACCCCCTGCGCAGCCTTTATGGTGTCGAGAAAATGCCGCGCCTGCTATGCCCTGGACGACCGTCGTGCATAGCGGCCGCGATGAGAGACCAGCCCTTGCGCACCCCTCATGGTGTCGAGAAAGTACCACGCTTGCTATGCCCGGACGACCGGGGCGTATACAGGCCGCGGTGAGAGACCACCCCCTGCGCACCCCCTATGGTGTCGAGAAAGTGGACGACCGGGGCGTCTAGAAACCGCGGTGAGAGACCACCCCCTGCGCACCCCCTACGGTGTCGAGAAAGTGCCTCGCCTGCTGTGCCTGGACGATTGGGTCGTATAAATACCGCGATGAGAGACCAGCCCTTGCGCACCCCTTATGGTGTCGAGAAAGTGCCACGCCTGCTGTGCCTGGACGATTGGGTCGTATAGAGACCGCGATGAGAGACCACCCCCTGCGCACCCCCTATGGTGTCGAGACAGTGCAACGCATGCTGTGCCTGGACGACTGGGGCGTATAGAGACCGCTGTGAAAGACCACCCCTTGCGCAATCCCTATGGTGTCGAGAAAGTGCCACGCCTGCTGTGCCTGGACGACCGGGGCGTATAGAGACCGCGGTGAGAAGCCACCCCTTGCGCAGCCCCTATGGCGTCGAGAAAGTGCCACGCCTGCTGTGCCTGGACGACTGGGGCGTATAGAGACCGCTGTGAGAGACCACCCCCTGCGCACCCCCTACGGTGTCGAGACATTGGCACGCCTGCTGTGCTTGGACGACTGGGGCGTATAGAGACCGCGGTGAGAGACCAGCCCTTGCCCACCCCTTATGGTGTCGAGAAGGTGCCACGCCTGCTGTTTCTGGACGACCGGGGCGTATAGAGGCCGCGGTGAGAAACCACCCCCTGCGCACCCCCTATGGTGTCGAGAAAGTGCCACGCCTGCTGTGCCTGGACGACTGGGGCGTATAGAGTCCGCGGTGAGAGACCAGCCCTTGCGCACCCCCTATGGTGTCGAGAAAGTGTCACGCCTGCAATGTCTGGACGACCGGGGCGTATAGAGACCGCGGTGAGAGACCACCCCCTGCGCACCCCCTACGGTGTCGAGAAAGTGCCTCGCCTGCTGTGCCTGGACGACTGGGTCGTATAGAGACCGCGATGAGAGACCAGCCCTTGCGCACCCCTTATGGTGTCGAGAAAGTGCCACGCCTGCCGTGCCTGGACGACAGGGTCGTATAGAGACCGCGGTAAGGAACCACCCCCTGCGCACCCCCTCATGGTGTCGAGAATATGCCATGCCTGGTGTGCCCTGGAAGACTGGCGCGTATAGAGACGGCGGCGAGAGACCACCCCCTGCGCGCCCCCTATGGCGTCGAGAAAGTGCCACGCCTGCTACGCCTGGGCGACTGGCGCGTATAGAGACAGCGGTGAGAGACCACATCCTGCGCACCCCCTATGGTGCCGAGAAAGTCCCACGCTTGCCATGCACCTCGAATCCTACACGCACGTCTTATATATTGTGTGTAATGTGAATGTGTATGATGTGTGCGCGGCCTGATGCAGTGAACATGCGTCTTGTGTTTCCCCCTATGGTGCCGAGAAAGTGCCACGCTTGCCATGCACTGCGAATCCTACACGCACGTCTTATATTTTGTGTGTCATGTGTATGTGTATGATGTGTGCGCGGCCTGCGATGCAGTGAACATGCGTCTTGTGTTTGCGAGAGTGTGTGTGTGTGTGTGCGTGCGGCTGTATGTAGACGCGTGTCTCATGTACTTGCCGCGCATGTTGTTACATGTGTTGAGCGCGGGTGAGGAGAGGAAGAAGAGGAGGGGAAGAGTGAGGTGTGTGAGGGTGTGTCGCGGGTGCGGCGCGGCAGGGAAGAAAACCAGAACCCCACGAAACATGTGGGGAACAAGTCTTTCACCTTCGATCCCTCCCTGATGGCCCCAGGGCCTGGAAACGGACCCATGGGTTATGATATTCCAACCTACTTTAGCCTCGACCACCAAAAAGAAATTTTAACACCAACAAAGTACCGAAAATGAAGGGTGTTCACGTGTCGGGCCCTGGGAAGCGATACTCGTTCGACATTGTTTCGGTACTTTGTGGGTGATCGAAATTATTTCTGGCATGTGCTCCTCAAGTACGATCGGAACAACATAACGGGCTGAACTTTCAGGCAAGCAGTACGATTGAAAAGTCCTACGGGGGGGGGCGTTGGTTCAGGACTGTGCCCAGGAGGCCTCAGACCCTCGGGGGGGCCCTTGTCAGATGAGGGCGGCCGTGAGATCCATGGCCAAGCCACGGTGGAGGGTTTCTCCGAAGGGCTTAGGCGATCCGTTCTCCTCCTCTCTCCTTCCTCCTCCTCCTCCCCCCCCTCCTCCTCCTTCTTTTCCTCCTCCTTCTTTTCCTCCTCCTCGTCCTCCTCCTCCTCCTCCTCCTCCCCCTCCTTGCCCTCCCCTCCTCGAGTCGCCTAGTTACGGCCCCGGGGGACACCGTCCAAGCCACAGGTGGAGTACCTCGGGCTTCCATAGGGGAGCGAATAATGACGTAAACATAAAAGCTCGGAGGTCCGCGCGGATTTCTTGGATCCGCGCTAGACCCCCCCTTGGCGCGCGGAGCGCGCCAGGGGCGGCGCCGGAGGCGCCGCCAGGGGGCCCCAGCGCGGATCCGAGAAATCCGCGCGGACCTCCGAGCTGTTATGTGTATCTCATTCGTCGGTCCCCCAGTCCACACCCTAGACGCCTGGACTCCTTATCCAACGGTTCCTCCTCCAAGGCCCTCACCGTGCCGCTGAAAGTCTTGGCCCCTGCCGAGGCCCATGCCGCAGCCCGACCGCGCCGCAGCGGCGGTCTCCCCAGCGCGTTGCTGGCGCCGGCGCCGCCAGGAGGTCCGGGCGAGCTCTCGCAAGCCGTCCCCGGCGCCTTCGCGCTCCGGAACGCCGACGAGGTCGAAGGAGCCCGCCTTCCCTGCCGGACGATGCGACCAGAGCGAAAAACGCTTCGCAGAGCTTCCCCGAGAGCGCAGAGCCACAAGCTCGAAGAGAAACACGGCCGCAGGCTGACATTGTTCTTGACATTGTTGGGCGACATTGTTGAAGTCTCACTTTTGAAGAATAATTATTGTTGATCCCCCCTCACTGGTGCATACTGTTTTTCTCAATCAAAGTGTGCCCCTCGACGCTCGCACCCTGTTTTTTGACAGGGAAAGTTTTGGTGCTCAAACTGGGCCCCTGGCCTCCCGGATTAGAACAACAACGGCTCCCGTCTGAGTTTTCTTCCAAATTTACTCAGGACCCCCGCTCCTGATACATCTTATCAATTTACTCAGGATCGGTGCTCGCGCCTGTGACTTCCTCGCAATTTAGTCAGGACCCCCGCTCCCATCTGAGAACTCTTCACAATTTACTCAGGAACGGCGCTCCCGTTTGAGACTTCCTCGCAATTTAATCAAGACTTCCTCGCAATTTCATCAAGACCCCCGCTCCCGCCAGAGAACCCTTCACATTTGATTCAGGAATTGCGCTCTCGCCTGTGACTTCCATGCAATTTATTCAGAAATCGCGCTTTCGACGCTCAGGAAACACGCTGCGCCAAGGACGCCGTTACAATTTACTTAGTAATCGCGCTCTCGCCATACTCAGGCATCCCGCTTGAATGTCCCACCCGCCCGACCCGCCCGACAGGGGATCGCCCGCCCGACGTGGGCTCCCGCCCGAGACTTCCTTCAGGAACGGCGTTTTCGCCTAGGATTTCCTCGAACGTTCACGCTCTTACCTTCCTGCTCCTCGTCCCTCCCCCTCCTCCCTCCTCCCTTCTCTCCTCCCTTCTCTCTCCCTCCTCTCTTCTCTCATCCTTATGCCTCTCTGCCCTATCCCCTCTCCCTCCTCTCCCTCCTCCCTTCTCCCTCCCCTCTCCTGCCTCCTCCCTCCCTTTTTCTTTCTCTCTCTCATTCTCTCTTGCCTCTCTCTCTCTCTCTTTCTCTACCTCTCTTATCTGTCTTTCTCTCTCTCTCTGACCCTGATCAACCGCTTCCCTCTTCGCTCCTTCTATCCTGGCGTTTTCGCTCTTCCTTCGTCCATCCCCTTCCCTTTCTCCCACTCACCCTCGTTCTCCCCCTCCCCTTTTTCCAGGGCCCACAACAATTCCAATGGCGGGCACATAGACGCCCACGAAGGATTGTCCGCCCGTTCAGGTTTGCCTGCCTGTCTAAGCCCGCCGCCCCCCGCAAAGAGAAATAATCCCCCCAAAGGGGGTGTGATCGAAGACAACAAAGGCGGGTATCGAAGATGTGGAGAATTTGTTTTGAATGACACGCGGGCAAGTAAAAGCGAACAGTCTTAGAATTATAGTTGTTGTTGTTGGCATTGTTGTTGACACTGTTGTTAACTAGCTTGCCCAAAGATATCGCTGGGCATGTTGTTGACATTGCAGCGCGATCCAGACCCCCTCGAACCATGACAAAAGCACGGCGGGCAGTGTTTCCAGTGCCCGGGGTCCCTTCGGAAGGAAAGGCTGGTCCCCAGCAAAGGGTCCGGGCCCCTGGGGGTCCATGTCATGAACACAAAGAACACGTCGGTCGTCTGGGGGCAGGGGGGGAGTCGAGGCTTCCAGCTCCGAAGCAGAGGCGTTCGGGAGTTGTCGTCGGTCCTCGGTGGTTTTCCACCCTCGGCAGCTGCGCTTCGCCGGCAGCATGCCGGGAGTCGTCCCGAGCGGCCGCCTGCGACCAGAGTCATGGCCTCGAAGCTAGACGACGGGAACCACAAGAGGTGCGGACAAAGGAGGGGATTGGCAACGAGGGGGACACGAAGCCTGCTACATGCAGTCAGTCTTCGCTCTGCCACCACGCATCTTCCTCAATACTTGGCCGCCTCCAGCGCCAGGGGGCGCCTGGAAAACCAGCTACGAGAGCTGATTCGGTACACCCTGCCCAGAGTCCTCGGGGGGCCTGGTCCGTTTTTCTGGGCTTGATCTGGGGTAGGGCGAACACCCACGCTAAAGGCTCGAGCTCCATAGGGAGACTGAAAAGGGCAGCACGGTCACCCCCATTTGCTTCGCGGGCCTAGCTGTGACAGACAGTCAGGTTCTGGTTTGCAGGTCTGTCCACCTCGCGAACGATTCGACTGAAGTGCCGATAACTGCGCGCGTTACCGATTGATTCGATCACGCACGCATGCCCCCTCCCCGGATCAAGCGACATCACCCAAACATGCTTATAGTATGTGCGTCGGCCCCCCAAGGGCGGCGCGGGCGCTCACAACATGTATGGTGTATGTTTGGTGGAGGGCGATGTTTTGCCATACCGCCTGGGCAGCGATATACTACAAGGCGCTTGCTGCATATGTGCAATTCGTAGGTGACTCCCAGGGGGTGCGCATGGTACTAGTTTGTCCTTCTGCGTCCCAATCCAGGCTCGATCCGATCGGCTCGATCGAAGTGCCAATGGGGGAGGCAGATAGGCAGGCCTGCGGCCTTGAATCGCAGATCCCTGGTATTCGATCAGCTCGGACTGGCGAAATCTGCCGGGCTCTCTCGATCAGAGGTGCGTTGCACGTTCGAGGACGAGCTGTGCTGGCGGGATGAGGCTGTGCATCGGCCGATCGACCTGTGGATCCAGCCGTGACCGGGCGGTGGATCGGGCCGCGAATATGGTTAAGTCGGGCACGACCCTCTACAGGAGGAAAATTCAAAAATAGTCGGGGGACGATGTTTTGCCGATGTTTGAATATTTTTAGAATACTTTGTGACTAGTTTTTGCCTTTCGCCTAAGAGCCCTCTGTAGGACGACATGCCCGACCTAAGAATAGGGCCATGGATCGGGCGTGGATCGGGTCGGACGAAAGGGGGGATCGGGTACGTGTGGGTTACGACAACTGCTACGCGCAGGTGGTCTGACTGGCCCGCCCGGGCACGTTGCGCACTGCACCTCTGCGGTTCGCTGTCTCCCCTCATCTCCCCCATCCAGTTTACCCTCACCCACCCCCCCAACCCTCCACCCTCCTCCGACATCCCCCCTCCCCCTCTCCCATGATCGGAGGTTGATAGACCTCCTACCCCGACACGTCGACTAGCGAATAGGCCGTTTTCGGTTCGCGAGAGGGCGTCGCGGCCGTCATTTTTGAGGGTCCAGGTCCCTTCAGTAAACCACTAAAGGGTGGTTTACTCAAGGGAGGTTTGTCCACCGCCGATCTTATCCCGCCCGGGACGTCTTGGGCACGAGCGCGTGCAGCGCGCGCTCGGTGTCGTGATTGGGCGATTTGCTTAACCATCCGGGGCTCACCAGCGAGTTTTCTGTTTCACTACGGCGGGGTAGGCTTCGAGCCAAACTAGCTGCATACAGCTAATGTCGCACGGGACTAGCTGCATGTAGCTAGTTTGGCGCGAAATCAGGTGCATGTAGTTAGCTCTGCGCCAAATTAGCTGCATGCAATTCGTCAGCCGTGCGACTGGTTCTGTGCAGGCGGCTTCTCCGACGGCGGGTCGCTTGGCACGCGAAGTTGGGCCGACGGCATGTGCTCGGATCCAGGATGATGCTTCTCCAGTGATCCCAGTAGCTACGAAGTTTCCAACTCCAACCTCATGTTGGCTGATTCCGAACCCTGCCTTTTACTATCCCCCCTATTCGTCTTGCCAGACTGGGAGGCACGTGGGGGTGGCCGACATCTGGCCATGTGTCAGTTTCATTTTTGGGCCGTTGTCGGCACACTCCTACTGCCTTTCTCTCCCCCCTCTCTCCCTCTCCCCCTCTCCCAGCCTCCCATCCCCCTCCTTCCCAAGAGTACTGAACTCCTCCTCCCTCCTCGTCTTCCGACTCCTCCTGCTCGTTCCCGCCTCGCAGGTGTTATTGTTGTTGTTTGTTGTTGTTATTGTTGTTGTTGTTGCTGTTGCTGTTGTTGTGGTTGTGGTTGTGGTTGTGGTTGTGGTTGTGGTTGTGTGTTGTTGTTGAACTCTCGCTACTGAAGAATAAGTGTTGTTGATCCCCCCCCTCCGGTGACCATTGTGCTTTTCAATTTAAGTGTTTCCCCCGAGATTCGCACCCTGCTTTTTCTCAGGGAAAGTTACTCGGCTCAAGCTGTGTTGTTGGTCCCCGGATTAGAGCAACAACAACAACAACAGCAACAGCAACAGCAACAGCAACAGCAACAACAACCACAACCACAACAACAACAACAATAACAACGACGGCTCCCGCCTGAGAGTTCCTCACGATTTAGCCAGGACCCCCGCTCCCGCTGGAGACTTCCTCGCAGTTTACTCAGGAGCGCTCTCGCCTGGGACATCCTTACAATTGGTTCAGGAATCGCTCTCTCGGCGCTCTCGAGTCGCGCTCTCGCTGGAGATTTATATGCAAATTACTCCAGGATCGTGCTCTTGCGTTGGAACTCCCCCAATATACTCAAGCGTCGCGCCCCCGACATTCAGGCACCCAGGGGCCGCGTTCACGCTTAGGACTCCCTTCACAGCTTACTTACGAATCGGAATCTCGCTGCCCTTCGTGGCCCCGTTGCAGCCCTTCGTGGCCCCGTTGCAGTCCTTCGTGGCCCCCTTGCTGCCCTTCGTGGCCCCCCATTGCCCTTCGTAGCCCCATACGCGTGCCCGTCGTGGCCCCGCTGTCGCCCTTTGTGGCCCCCTCGCTGCCCTTCGTGACCCCGTTGCAGCCTTTCATGGCCCCCTCGCTACCCTTCGTGGCCCCGTGACAGTCCTTCGTGGTCCCTCGCTGCCTTTCGTGGTCCCGTTGCAGCCCTTCGTGGCCCCATACGTGTGCCCTTTGTGGCTTCGCTGTTGCCCTTTGTGGCCCCCTCGCTACCCTCAGTGGTCCCGTCGTTGCCCTTCTGTGGCCCCGCATTATCTGCGCTTCGTGGCCCCCTCACTGCCCTTCGTGGCCCCGTTGCAGCCCTTCGTGGCCCCCTCGCTGCCCTTCGTGGCCCCATATATGTATGCCCTTCGTGGCCCCAGC